AAGTAGTGGCCGGGCACAAAAAAAATATGTGAATAATGCCTACTGGAGCTAAATACAATAAAAATCTTTCATTTTTTTTTTGCAGGTGGCATTTAGGATTTTGTAAGAAGGAGTATCTACCAACTAGCCGTGGCTTTTACTCGCATTATGGTCAACTTGGAGGTGGAGTCTCACATTGGACTAAAGAGACAAGTATGTTTGCATCAGGATGTAAGTTCAGTGAAGTGCGAGTAATGAAATATTTGGACTGAAAACATTGCTTTATTTACATCAAACAATGTGTGTTTATTATAATATATTCATGAACATATGCAAGCATATAAATAAATAAATAAATAAATAAATAAATACAATGGTTGCATTGTTTAGTCAGGTTGTCAGTGCAAGTTTCATGCCACAGTTATATTTCTATAAAAGTACAGTGTCAGGAATGTGCGATTGAAATTGTTTCTATATATTTATTTCATCTATTTTGCTAGGAGATTTTATGCTTATATGTCATATTTATTTAAACTAGAATAAGCACGTTATAAGGTTGTTAATGGAAGTTTGGCGGAAATTAGCTCGTGTTTTTTAAAACACTTAAAAGTAAATAGACAACTGTAGTGACACTGTTCTCTATTTGATTTTATAAACTAAACAAACGAAATATTTGTTTTTTAATTGTAGTTTTAGTTTTGCATGCTTTAATATCTGAAAATACGGGAATTGAAGTACAAGGCATCCAATTACAAAATTTACAATCTAAACAAAAACAACTAAGAAATTTTACAAACTCGACTCCACTTGTATTTTACGGCTTCACTTGTTTTCAAAAGTACAATAATCCAGTCACACAAGTCTATATTTACGAGTGCATTCCGCTATTACAACTTTTCTTTACATGGCTATACAGTACTGGTGACCAATTTCGTTATTATATATGTTGCTGTATTTATATATAATTTTTCATCATAACTTGATTGTTGACCTGGTAGACAATTTTTACATTGACATTGGGGCCGAGGTCACTTAACCAAACTTTTAATTTGTTTTGACTTTCTAGATGATTTCCGTAACAACAGCGGAGTTGTTCAAAAAAATGACACCTATCTCACAGTGAGTACAGAAAAAAAGAATAGTTTAATAAGCGTTTTATTTTTTTATTTTTATCGGTTGATGGCATCATGTGTTTTTCATTGGAATGGGTTGTATACGAATCTATAAACAGTTTCACTTATTTTATTAATTTACCTTTTGATAAGAAATTAGGGAAAGCATGCAATGTACATAAAAAACGAATCGTGAGGTTTTATCTACATTTTACCTTTCTTTATAGTTCATGCTTGCTGAAAGAGCAGCAGAGATAATAATGGGACATTCCAAAGAATATCCATTATACCTGCACTTTAATTTGGATACGCCAGCAAAGAGTCTTGAGGTAATAACCTTCTGTAAACAATTTGATTAAGTGTTAAAATCCGTAAAAACATATACTAGTATTAATTTGATCGCAGTCGATACACTGGACGCAAAGCATGTATGCAAATAAGGTACAAATTAAGATTTTGTTGTTAATAGTTTCTGCTGAAAATGCATGCATGTGATGAATAGGATATACAAACTATGACCTTGCAGCATGTTATCAAACAAGCAAATACAAAGTTTGTTAAATACGATATTACAAAGTCACCCATTGAATAATCTCTATATATGCACATATAGAACTGTAATACCTCTTTTTTTCTATTTTACGTGTATATTATATTTTTTATATATGTGTGTGCACACAGGTTCCACCAGAGTATGAAGCGTTGTATTCTGATATTGCAGACAACCGAACAAGAAAATTGTATGGTATGTATTGTGGTTACCATGTATAGATGGTTGTACGTAGAGAGGCATCCCATTTGCGGAGTGCCCAAGCAGTAGCATTAACACATCCATATTCGTGTTGGAAAAGGGGGAAAAATAAGAAACTGTCAAACAACATTCTATCATAGTTGTTTAATATGAAACAGTCCCATTATACCAGTATACTCCCAGACACGGCAATATACCGCAGATTATTTCATCTGTACATCAGTTTACTTTGCTGTGCCTTTAAAAATATCCCGGTATTTTCCATGTCGATGTGTAAATGGGCAAAACAAACATGATTCATTTTGTTTATTTGGTGTTTATGTAGTATTCCCATGAATACCTTCACATGTGCAGTTAAAATTCGTTATTGTGAATATGGACCATTTTTTTTAAACAAGATTTCATTAGTTCAGTCATACTTACCTTACCAGATTCTAGTGTTTAGCATTGACTAGTGGGCTTACGATTCGAGTGAGCACTGTGTTGGAAAAATTAGCATCCCCGGGTGTCAGTAAAATATGACTGTCTTGTATCATTTGATCTCAAAAATTGTACCTAAATGTACTGATTCACCCCAAAGGCATTGATAATTTTGCTTCATGATTTGAGGAATAAGATACCATCTCAAAGTGTGACCATTCGGGCTCAAT